ATGCACCTTCCCTGTTGGACCTTCTGTTGACCTCTCATTCAAACAGATAACTGGTCTCCGTTGACGCCCCTCTTGGCTCCGCGGACCATTGTCTAGTCCGGAGTGTAGTGCCACTCACGCTGAAATGGCAGTTGCATTTTTCAAGCCGGCCGATTGGGATAAGATGCGGTTTTTTTGCATCTTATTATTTAGGGCGGGTGGCTTCTCGCTGGATGATCCCGATGCTAATTCTGTCGCTGATGTGGTACTTCAGGGTATGGAACTTTTTAGTCCTTCCTCTGTGGTGCCCATCGGAGGCAGATCTCAGCCATGGCTTAGTCGCTACTGTAAAATAGCTTCACGCTATAAGCAGGAGTGCTACCGGGCCTGGGCTGATGCATCAACGTCTCGGGATGTAATTACTAGAGTCCTTAAAAAGAAGTATAATTCGGCCTCCAGGTCCTTCAAAATAGTCATTGCCAGGCCAAAGTCAGAGCATATCGACAGAATTGGCGAGAAACTCGTTCGCCTTCCTTCGTGAACCAGTGCATTCTAGTCTCTCGCCAAGGCTGTCCAAGGGAACTTCTGTCAGCCATCTCTTCCATCTCTGCACAGGGAGGACGACTCACTAGCCCATGCCGTACAGGAGAAAGCCGATCTGCTTGGCTCTTTTTTTGCGTCCAACTCGACTCTCGCTGACGGTGGTAGCACACCGCTGACCATCCAGCGGTGTTAGTGCTTCATGCTGGATATGTGGTTCACACAGCCCTTGGTAGCACTCCTCTCCCTGGACATCCACAAGTCGAGTGGGTTTGACGGAATCCCCTAATTGTGCTGAGGACGTGTGCTCCGAAGTTGGCACCGCTTCTAAAGCATGGGCTTCCCGGGAAATTGTGCAAATGGATCACCAGTTTCCTTGCTGATCGGAGCATCAAGGTCGTAGTAGACGGTGCATGTTCTGATTTCAAGCCTATTAACGCTGGTGTTCCACTGTGTGTATCAATGATATTTTGCTAACTGGTAGCATTCATTGCTATGCAGACGATAGCACTGGTGATGCCTTATATACCGGCTGTGCCAATATTTCTCGGGAAAACTTCGCTGAGTACCGGAACAAACTTGTGTCTGAAGTGGTCGTCGCTGTTTACTTGTAGCCAAAGGATGGACAGGTTCGATTATTCTAGACTGCCGAGGCGTCGACAACAGATTTCCTCTCTGACGTATACGCAAACTCTAGCCGGAGGCACAAAGGAGTGTTCCAGCCGGAGAGGACACCTGCGTCTCGGTCAGAAAGAGCAAAGTTAGCTACGCTGTTTCGCGATGGTAGTGGACGGCGTTCAGGTTGTCTTAACGGGAATTTTGCCCCCCCCCCCCCGCTCCCAGTATACGTAGGGCACGATCAGGAGCGGAGTGGCCCGGTCGTGGATGATTATCCAGGGGTGCTATTACCCTCCTGGGGTAGTCTTACATTTAATTCCGCTACCATGTTGATGGTGCGGGGGCTGCACTCACAATCTGCAAGCAGAGCTTCTATTTCACGCTGGTTTCCTGTGAGGTCGTGGCACCACCTCGGCTCGAGCCGGCCCATACGTGCAACAGCAAAAGCTGCCGCGTGGCTCTTTATTTTCGTCCTCTACGGTGGGACTACTCCGGAGGCTTGAAGAAGAAGTGTGGTGGTCTTGTTCTTCAAGAAAGGCGACAACGATCTCTTGAAAAACCTCAGATCGTGCGATCTTCTGTGTCACGTATAAGTTTTGTTTTCGACAAGCCGGAAAGGAATTAGTATCATTATAATGATGTTATTAATATAATGATACTAATTCGCCTTCACACATATACCCTTCGCCAAATGGTATATAAGACAGAAGAGTACAATCTGCCACTTTGCCTAGCGTATGTGGACTATGACAAAGCCTTTGATTCCGTCGATATTTGGGCGATGCTACAGTCCCTTCAGCGGTGCCATGTTGACTGTCGGTTTATTGAAGTGCTAGTCTTTGTACAGTAGGGCTACGATGGCTATCCGAGTACAGAACCAGAGTACGAAACCCATACAACTGCAGAGAGGTGTAAGACAGGGTGACATTATATCCCTTAAAAACTTCACCGCTGCATTGGAAGATGTTTTCAAGCTACTGGACTGGAAAGGATATGGTATTAACATCAATGGTGAATACATCAGTCACCTTCGATTTGCTGACGATATAATCCGTAGGTCAGAATCGCAGGAGGACCTAAGTACTCAATGACCTCAATAGTGACTCCCAACGGATAGGTCTTAAAATGAACATGGACAAAACAAAGATCATGTGGAACGTTCATATATTACACCTATACCGGTAGTTGGAGTACTAAGCCCGAAATTGTTGACGAATATGTTTACCTGGGACAATTAGTCCGACTAAGTAAATCCAACTTCGACCAGGAGGTCAATCAACGGATTCAACTCTGCTGGGGAGCGTTCGGGAAATTCACACACATTTGTCAGGTATACCTCAAAACTTGAAAACGAAATTGTACAACCAGTGCGTGTTGCCAGTGATGATTTATGGATCTGAGTGGACGTGGTCCTTCACTGCTGGTCGTATGAGGAAGCTAAAGGTCGCTCAGCTTGCTATGAAGAGGGCTATGCTCGGGGTTTCTCTGCGTAATAAATTTAGAAATGAGGATATCCACAGTAGAACTAGAGTGATCAAGTTTCGAGTGGCAGCCTCGTACCGGCAAGCAAATTGTAAGGCGACCCCCCACTAGATTGAGTAAAAACCTAGTAAGACACGCAGGAAGTCGATGGATGCAGGTGGTTCAAGACCGTGCTTTGTGGCATTCCTTGGGGAAGGTGTATATTCAGCAGTAGACTTGTGAAGGACTGTAATGATGATGATAGTGAATATTCTAGAAATAGAAACTTCAATCTTTTATAGTTCAAACATTCATAATAAATATTTTACAGAAGATGATTACCGACGTGTAGATCTGAGTAGATAGACTAAGCTATACGTTTAAAGGCACGCTGCATCTATATTACGGTTATAGCATGAATGGGTTGACTCGACCGGAGTAGGACTAAGCTCTCAAAGAATACCAGCGTAAAATAGCAGCTTAATGCTGTGTTTCGTATAGTGAATGGAAACGAGACTGAAAACGAGGCATTTCATCTTAGTCCTCAAGGTGATAACGCATCTGCGTTTTGATTCCTAATCGAGGCTACATGGAGATGTCTATGGGCCACAGCATCCACTTACCATCAAGTGGACTGTGTATTAGTTTATCTCCTTCATTCTATAAAATAAAAATTTAAAAAAAATTGTCACTTAGTTCACGCATTGACATAAATATAAACAGTTTCTTGTTTTAAACAAATATTTGACTATAAGCTATTTTGTGTAGAAAACGCTGTATTTCGTTTAAAAGGTTGCCCTGCAATGTAGGTATTCAAAATAAGTAACTTAAACGTTTAATATATAAGTTTATGGTTTATAACTAATCTTGAAACCAGATGTCAACACCGCGATGTTGTCATCTTTTTGTACAAAACCTTTGTCGTTTTATTGACTATCCATAATATTTGCTGTGAGAAATCACAATAAAGTGTCCTAGGGTTAATCTTTCGTAATTTTCCTTTTGTAAAACGAGATTTTTGTAAGAACCTGTAATTATTATAATTAACGTCATAATATTTTAGACATATTACTTAATTTGTAATTGATCGGGTGTATATTCTATATTTACTTGATTGAGGGCTAGAAACGTTAGATTAAATTATATTTAGTAGTGTTTCGCTGTGACATCACTTGATTTAAGTCTAGGTGACGAGAGATTCTTGCGCTCAAATGAATTCCAGTGTCTTATTTAAGGTGGACTGACACGTGATGGGGTGCTATTTGCTCGAGCCAAATGAGTGATCGCAGTAGTAAGAGGTGCCGGAGTGACTTCTGGTTATGAGTCTGGGCGGAAGGGCATATCACACCACATGCCCCTTTGCCCAGACTTTTCCAATCCGGGGCCCTATGGTCCACTTTGAGCTACGTCAGCCGGAGCTATGATGACGGAGTCCGTGGCCGAAATATTTTTATTATTATTTACATTGCTATAAAATTGCATAGTGAACACCAGCACTTATTTTCATTTTAACCGAAAAGGGTAATTATTAACAATTAAGAGTATTTGTAGAATTATACCCCATCAGAACCGGTGGCAATTTCTGCGTCTACCAGGTCGTTTTAAGAAGTAACTAATTTTCTCGTAAACCTAGTTCCATTATAAAGATTTTTAGGATTTTCATTAAATAGATAAACAGTGAACAGTGTCATCTATCGGTAAATGTTAAAACTAAATCTACAGCAAACTCATGCTATGAGGGTCGGCCTCCCTCACGTCCAGCAGTGGATTTATTACTGAAATGTTGTGATGAAAATGAAGCCAAACATAGAAATTGTAAAAATAAATAAATATATATAATAACTTGTATATAAAATAATTTATATACAAGTTTTTTACAGTGTTTTTTACATTGTGAAACGGGAAATTGTATTACTATTAAATATTATATTAATATGATTAATATAATACCATATTCCTTGATAACGTTGTCATTCAAGTTACAATATCACACAATCGTATGTCAGCGGTCACTTAAAAATTGATTACAAAGGAAAGAAAAGACAGAGAAACCAAGTTAGTAAAACGCTTTCAAACTCACTTAATAAAAAGGTTCTTTATTGAAACACATTTATATTAAGAAAAACTATATTTGTACATACTATTTTTATATACATTTACATATTATTTGCATATACTTTTCATTATTGAAGTAATAAATAAATAAATTCAGATCATAAAATAATACAATACCTAAATACATACAGGAAACTACATAAATATATAAATTATTTAATATACATATTTACTTATAATGCATTAATGGCGGAAAAATTAAGAAATATATATATGTATATATATGTGTAAAAAAACTTTTAACGAGATTAAATAAAGTAAAAAAAAGGGTCTGCAATCCAATATCATTACGCCACGTGAGGAACAACAACTTCAGGCACAGGTTTGTGAGTGATGTGAACGTCTTGCAAGTATATGTTGTGAATATCATCAACTTGCCATTGGTACAAAGGTCGGTTTAGAGGGAATCCCAAAGGCTCGTCAGACAAGTAGCGAGCGCCAGAGCCAAGACCTAGAGAGACAGCAGGGTCGAAGTTGCTGCCATATGGTACCTTTGCGGGATGATATTCAGAGATGTACACCAAGAGAACGAACGGCATTCCTCCAACGCGACCTGTGGAAGTTTAAATTTTGTTTAAGCATTCAAATAATCAAACATTATAATTAATTAATTTATTAAAAATTAATTTTTAATAAAAAAGATCAAGCCAAGCTATTAGCATACAATTTTATTTCCTTATATAACTTCAACAACCAACACGTTGCCGGGCCTAGATCTTTGCAAGAATTCGCTAGGTAGCAAGTAAAAACAATTCTTATTTTTTACCTTTGGGAAGTATAAGATGATCGGGGATTACATCAATTCTATGTGTCTGATCAAGAACGAACTGTCCTTTGCCATGCACTGCGTTGTAGGCCTTTTCGTAAACTTCGTACGCTGACGACCATCCCTTAGATGTGAACAAATTTTCTGTCGACTCACGTTTGATAACACACTCTCCAACGGGCACTATAATCGAAACAATTGTTAAAGTATGTTGTTAGAGTAAGTTATAAAAAATTAAAATACTTCCAAAGGTTGGAAGAAACTGTAAGAAGATCTGCATGCAGAATTAAGATAAGAACTAATTTTCTAAAACGAGATGGGCACTCCGTTCTATCTGAGCATTGAGAGAAAACAAACTATTGTCAATACTAGACCCGCTCCAGCAGAACTAGACACCATAAATAACCTTTACACTAGGGAGATATGTAAATACAACATTTCACGAATATTTTGTATATCCACTTTGTCTATATTTGTCGAATATTTATCTATATAATATTAACGATCGTATCCTAAGCTAACAGTTTGATTAATAAACTAATCTTAATGTAATAATAATCTCTACAGTCATCTAAATTCAGGTTTCTATGTGTGAATTTTATACACTCAAGCCTTACTTTAAGACAGTCAAGCCCGGGAAACAAGAGTAATATGTTTTATGTGAACGTAAATTTGTCTAAGATTAATAAATTACTTACAGTCATACAAGAATTGATCGAACAAGAAGAAGTTTTCAGTGTTAACGTGAAGAGGTATTTCATAGCCCTTGCTGTCATACTTGGGTGCCAGGAAGAATTTCACAGCGACAGTTTTCGCGACATCACTCTTAACATTAACACGAACAGTGAACACCTTGTGGTTGAGTTGTGGACGCTGAACCAATACTCTGACATCATCGACTACTTCCTTGCCTAGAAAATAAATATTTGTATCATAAGGTGGTCACTAATTCTCTAACCTATTGTTCAAAATAGATAAAAGGGTGAGATACTTGCTTTCATGTTTGTTCATGTGCAGATGGTTAGTAACGTTAACATAAGTATGTTCAAAGTATGTGACGAGTTTATCGACCTCGACACTCTTAATAACAACTGATGGTAGTGCCAGTTCTTCATGCTTGTAAGCAGGAAGATATTTCTGCCAAGACGTGAACAGTCCCAATACACGTTTATAAATCATAAAGAATGCAGGGTCCCTTGAAGCAGTCTGGTAGTGTTCCAAAACTGACGGAACCACCAACGGTACCAATCTGTAAAACACAAATTTTCATTTAAAACAAATTCATTCAGAGCTATGAAAAATTAATCATTTTTATAAACAAACTTACCCATTATGATATTGACGCCTATGCCCAACAGTGTTTCCGAGAACAGTCTTCCAAATGCTGATAAAGTCCTTGTAGTAATATGGGTTGGGAGAATCAACATTAGCTTCCACTAACCGACCGAGAACATCAATTGCTTCTGGAGTTCGAAGGTTAATATGTTCACCCATGTGCTGCAAAAACAAATATATTTCAGAAAAAAATACAATGCGACACGATATCTACATTTGTTTATTTGTATTCCACTTACATTGAGGACGTAACCTTGGTCGATAGCTTCGCGGACACGGTGCTCGTAATCCGTAATCTTTGTTATGGCATCAACAAACTGTGGCTGGTCCAGACTGAAGTGGTTTGGCCTTACTGGGAATTGAATACCATTAAAGTACGAAATATCTGGCACGTATCCTTGTTGAACTACGTCAAGACCTAATTCAGGAATTTCCCCAAGACCGTTGGACAGTCTTTCCATGTAGTAACGAGCCAGCATTTGTTTATGGTAAAACCAGAAATATTCACCGCGTCTGTCCTTCACTAAGGGCGTGGCTTCGTTTCCAAGCCAAGATGGATACATCAGGTGAAAGTTGTAGTAAATTGCGTTCAGGGTAACATCATGTGTGAAATAGGTGAGAACGTCGTTATAGAAGTAGGGCCATGTAGTGCTGTTCCACCTAATCACAACATTGTCATCCCACACATAAGTTGATGGATAATGTTCAATCATTCGCTTGCCGTGTGTGTTTATTCTCTGGGCGGTGGTCATGATTTCAGCATTATGGAAGTATGAAGGGAAAACTTCAAAAATTGGTGGAATTACTATGCCTTGCGTGTCCGGACGGTGTAACAATACGACGCTTAAGACGTAGACGAAAAGACCTTCATTGACCTTGTTCCTTAGGTATACAGCTGTTTTATAAAGTGTGCTGAAATCTTTCGCTGAGTAGAAAACATCGTACAAGACTTTAGCCTCAAATCTGTGCGAGTACTCCAAAACAGAGAATGGCACACTACGAGGCAGCAGCAGGTCTTTTTCAATTAATTCTGCGTACAATTTCACAGCTGTGACATTCTGTAAAGAAAATATTTATTATAGTATAACCCTTCTACAGTTCTACAGTTGTTCAATAATGTTAAAAGGTGGAAAGTAAATGGAAACTGGGACAATTCTTACAGTATAGTGATCAATATTCTTCTCAAGGTCCCAGGTGTTCACAATCACTTGCAGTTCTGGCTGGTGAATGGGTTCGTGAACGTGGTAGAATAAGTGCCATATATCCACCTGATGTTGCACAAATTCGGGATCAGCTGTAATAAAGGCATAATAAGTTAGTAATTTATAAATTGAAATTAAGTAATCATCATCATTACAGCTTTTTATAAGTCCACTGCTGAACATAGGCCTCCCCCAAGGAATGCCACAAAATACGGTCCTGAGCCACCTGCATCTATCGACTCCTGCATGTCTTACCAGGTCGTCACTCCATCTCGTGGAGGGTCGCCCTACACTTCGCCTACCGGTACGAGGCTGCCACTCTAGAACCTTTCGTCCCCATCGGTTGTCGGTTCTTCGAGCTATATGGCTGGCCCACAGCCACTTCAGCTTACTAATCCGTTGGGCTATGTCGGTTACTCTGGTTCTACTGCGGATATACTCATTTCTAAGTTTATCACGCAGAGAAACTCCGAGCATAGCCCTCTCCATAGCTCGCTGAGCGACCTTGAGCTTCCTCATACGGCCAGCAGTGAAGGACCACGTCTCAGATCCGTAAGTCATCACTGGCAACACGCACTGGTTGTACAATTTCGTTTTAAGGTTTTGAGGTATGTCTGACGAGAAGATGTGTCGTAGTTTCCCGAACGCTGCCCAGCCGAGTTGAATCCGTCGATTGACCTCTCGGTCGAAGTTGAACTTACCTAGTCGGACTATTTGTCCCAGGTAAACATACTCGTCAACAACTTCGAGCTTAGTGCTCCCAACAACTACCGGCATGGGTGTGACATGGACATTAAACATGATCTTTGTTTTGTCCATGTTCATCCTAAGACCTATTCGTTGGGAGACACTATTGAGGTCATTGAGCATGGTGCTTAGGTCTTCCAGCGATTATGCCATAAGGGCTATATCGTCGACAAATCGAAGGTGAGTGATATACTCGCCATTGATGTTACTACAGTATCCTTTCCAGTCCAGAAGCCTGAAAGCGTCTTCCAATGCAGCGGTGAAGAGTTTTGGGGATATAACATCACCCTAGCTTACACCTCTCTGCAATTAGATAGGTTTCGTACTCTGGTTCTGTACTCGGATAGCCATCGTAGCTCTACTGTACAAACACTTCAGCACTTCGATATACCGACAGTCAACTTGGCACCGCTGAAGGGACTGCAGCACCGCCCAAATTTCGACGGAATCGAAGGCTTTCTCATAGTTCTCATACGCCAGACATAGTCGCAAATTGTACTCCTCGGACTTCTGTACAATTTGCCGAAGGGTATGTATGTGGTCTATGGTGCTAAAGCCCTTTCGGAAACGGGCTTGTTCGGGAGGCTGGAAGTCGTCAAGTCTGCGCGCGAGATGATTCGTAATGACTCTCGAAAACAGCACGTAGACGCGGCTCAGAAGGGAAATCGGTCTGTAGTTCTTCAAGAAAGCGTTATCACCTTTCTTGAAGAACAAGACCACCGCACTTTTGCTCCACGCCTCCGGTGTAACGCCATCCTGGAGGACGGAATTAAAGAGCTTCTGAAGGACTTCAAGTACCGGTCTTCCACCCGCTTTCAGAAGCTCCGCTGTAATTCTATCCTCGCCTGGGGCCTTGCCGTTTTTAAGGTGCTGGAGAGCCATTCTAATCTCGCTCAGACTGATGTCCGGGATATCTTCGGAATAGTGTCGGATAAGACTCGCCGAATCGTTACTCACACTTGCGTGTGCCTCCAACGATGACGTGTACAGATGCCCATAGAACCTCCCAATCTCACTCAAAATCTCAGATGCCCCGGAAACGATACTGCCACATTTGGTCTTCAGCTTTGACAGTTGGCTCTTTCTGGCAGACAGATCTCTGGCAAAGACTTTGGAGCCTTGGTTCCGCTCGATCGCTTTTTCAATACAAGCTGTATTGTAGTTGCGTAAGTCCCGCCGCATGCATTTGGAGATCTGTCTGTTCAGTTGCCTGTATGCTGTCAAATCTGTTGAAGAATGTAGCTTCATCTCCCGTCTAACAGCCATGAGATTGAGAGTGTGATCGGAGAGTTTTTGTGTTCGTCTGCGGCGGATCTTGCAAAACTTAGCTCCGACCGCATGGACAGTTTCCACGAGCTTGTCATTCATATCGTCCACTTCATAGCAGTCTTCTAGGCACTGAAAACGGTTTTGTAAATGGAGCTGAAAGATTTCGGGACTTTGGAACAGAGCACGAGGGGGACGGAATGTGCCTCTGACTATTCGGTGATCGCTATCAGTTTTCACCCTCGCGATCACGGAGACATCACTGAACAGTTGTCGTCTGGTCGTCATAATGAAGTGAATCTCATTTTTTGTGGAACCGTCGGGGCTCGACCAGGTCCACTTCCTGTGGGGCCGCTTCTGGAAGAAAGAGTTCATCATAAAGAGTTCCTCTTTCTCCATGAAGTCGGCCAGCTGCTGGCCCCTTGGGTTCCGTTGCCCTAAATCCAAATTTCCCTACTTTCAGCTCACCGTTCTCTCTTGTGCCTAGTTTTGCGTTGAAGTCTCCCATTAACACCGTATAGTGGGTTTTGGAGGAATGCATGGCTCTAGAGATATCCTCATACATTTCCTCCACCTCCTCATCGGGGTGTGCCGAGGTTGGTGCGTTAACCTCTATGACCTTCAGCGAATACCGTTTGGTGATTCTGAGTATAAGGTACGCAACCCTCGTCGACACACTCTCAATTTTTACAACGTTGTTAACGAGAGACTTGTGGACGATAAATCCGACACCTCCTTGGGACAGATGGTCACCCTCCTGATGATAGAAGTAAGTAAGGTAGGTAAATGTATCAAAGTTTATCCAATATTCAAAATCGAACCAGGATAATATTAAACTTTTTCAAACTCTTTAACCATTAGAATCGGTCATTAATAAGAATGTACACAAAAGTGCAACATCTGAATTAAGTTGTTTTATATATTTAAATATATTAAGTATATTAAATAAACTTGTTAAGTTTTATTGCGAATGGGTCACCTAATATTTATTACCTATCTACGAATATTATTCCGCACCAACTTGACGAATTTTTATTTGGGGCTAAGTTATTTATCCGTCGTTTATTTTTTTTATAGAATAAGGGTGACAAACGAGCACACAGTCTACCTGATTTTAAGTGGATGCTGTGGCCCATAGACATCTACGTTTATTGTCAATTAAAAATCAAAATGCAGATGCGTTGTCACCCCTGAGGTCTGAGATGGAATTCCTTGTTTCCAGTAAAAAGGGTTTCCGGTTCTCTACACTCACCATACGAAACACAACAGCATTAAGTCGCTAATTTACGTTGGTATTCTGTGAGAGCGTGGTCCTACCCCGGACGAGCCGACCCATTCGTGCTGCAACCATAATAAAGCTGTAGAATGGCTCTACCACGTAAAAAATATATAGTTGTTATAACAATTTGGAAACCCTGCAGTAATTGCAGGATTTTAGCCAGTATAAAATTTTAGAAATACCAATAATACGCGCTTAGCAGCACTTTAATACTCAGGGTTTCTCTCATTATTGTAAAACAGTATAATTCGTAATGTGATTAATTATAAATTTACTAATTTAATTAACATTTTATTGAATTAATTCACGTTGACACAGAAAATAAAAATCAAACTCACCAACTTTCTGCGGAATCTTTTTGATAGGATCCGCAAGCCCGCTTGTTGCAAGCAGTGCTAACGTGCACAACACCAGTCGAGCCATGGTCGTCAGTGACTAGCCTTACCAGAGCCCACCTATTTATACCTCAATTTCGATAAATAGCAATTATCTAGTGTAGGTCAGGTACAAAATAATGTCAACCTTATCTTAAATTTAGTTTGAAAATATAAACATTCGTATGCATGTACTTTGATTGACCTTCAGAGTTCAATTCCTTAAGGTCACTTTTACGTAAAGACTAAAAGTCTTCTAATAAAAATAAAATCATTCATATCAAATAAAAATTTTCACAGTAAAATATTATTCAAGCAAATTTTTCTTTGAAATAAACTTGTCATAACAAGTAATTATAATTTTGTCGTATGATGGCGGTGTAAACGATTCCATTATCCTATTTTGTCTAGTTGACGTTAACGTTGAAAGAGGTGGTTATTAAAATGCTCCAAAAACCTTATGACTTCCGTTACATGGTGGTATAATTATCTCCAATAGGCCATGCGTAATATATCCAACCGAAAACGGGGGCAGCGTCAAAAGTGCGAAGCAAATGCACCTGCCAAGCGTCGAAAGGGGTCCATGTGGGTCCATGTCCGGCAGTGGGCTTTTACGGGCTGCTGAAAAAGAAATAGCTCAACCAGAAAAAACAATGTTATGTTATCATGGTGTCAGTGTATTTTACTTTCAGTCGTAGTACATTGAGAAACACCGATATCCAGAATAATAAAGGATATAGTACTCTTTGCGTGCGGGAATCGAACCCGTGATCCGTTGTGCCGCAGCTATAAGCCTAGCCCTTGTGATAACGAATCGTCAAATTACAATGTTTAAAACATTCATTTGTATTTGGCCACATACATTCTCACTTGATCAGATACTGACGTGACTCTTAATTCGAATGATTTTTAAGGTTCCGTACCTCAAAGGAAAAAACGGGACCCTAGGAAAAAAAGAAAAAGATTTTATTAAAAGTTTGATCGCAAATACATTCCCAACTTATTGAGTACTTTACACTAGCATCCATGGTCACGGGAAAAGTAAGGTGTTCGGCGTTCTAATGTCATACCTACGGTTTTTTACACCGTATGACAGTAGAAATGGAAATGCCTACGCATACCCACCTCGTGGAGGCAAAGACAAGATATGTCAGACTCGCGCAGGGCCACAGGAACGCTTTCGCACACATCGCTGCCATGGGGCGATCGGTGCTTATTGGGCCTCCTCGGGGAGGAATTCTCCTCTCCTTTTTCCTTATTCGGTAATGAACACCAGAAAGACAAGGCGCGCCTTCTTCCGCGGCCTCTTACTCCGGGCCCTATTTCGATACGCGGAGACCATGGGGCCAGGAAAAACAAGCACTCAGCAGCTCTAGCTTTTCCGACCCCAGTGGCGGAACCAGTCTCAGGCTCCGCCGCCAACCAAGTGTTAACCGCGGAGGGTTGGGAGAGCGGTGCGTCGCAATATCGACACTCCACTCCCCCCGTGGCCCTACCACCACCATATCAACGGTGTGGCCCCGTCAGAGTCGCAGAGGATAGATCCAGTGGCACATCGCCATACCAGCACTCCTCTTCCCCAGCGACCCCGCTTCGGCTGCAGCGTTAGGGGAAGAGGATACTGAGGTGGCCCTACACACCTGAGGCCGTCCCTAAACCTAGGGCCAGCCAAGTGGGTTCCCCATTGTTCACCGTGGGTGATTAAGCCACGGCTACTAAGCCCCCCCTCCTCCCCCTATCAGCCATGACAATGTGAGAACCCGTCGGCTACCACCAGTTTTAAATTTTGCTCCAACCTACACAGAAAGAGTTTACAGAATATTGAGGTTTTGCAATGGTATGCTTGTGTTGGAATTTAATTTTATTAATTATAAGCTCCTACGTAAATGGTAACACCCAGCCGTCTTTTCAATTGAAATTAGGATGTTTCTTTATTTCAATAGCCTCGCTAATTATCCTTGATAGGAATTGGTGTCCTTTGCGGATATTTGTGGTTATCAAATCTGAGATAGTGTGGGTGTACCAGTCCCAAACCAGGTACCAATGATTAACCACCCATATGTTCAATTGAATAATTTAAGAAATGGCGGGCATTTTTTAAGAATTCGATAATCTTGTTATGTAGCCTAGACTATAAAAAACCTTCCGAACATAATTTTTTGCGAGAGTAAATGAAAAATATCGATACGTAGATCTTCTTCCCAGACTATATCTCATTTAATGGCTTTCGGCCGCCATTACAGTTAGACGTGCACGTCAACATGATAAGTTCAAACTTTTACCTATTATTTCCTAATTGCTGTCAACAAGTTGTATTATTTTAAAAGTTTTGTGTTTATCTAAGTGCTATGCACTGTTATTTTTATTAAATAATGACATTATCAAGTATTTTTATAGGTGGTTAACTACTGGAACACACTTTTGTGTGTTCCCGTAGTTTGGTTAACAATATACAAGGTACTGAGTTCATTTTGTTAACCAAACGGTTTGCAACTGGTTGTCTTTGGTGTTTCTTTTATTGTTCTTTTTTAGCAATGCTTTTGTTTGACAATTTAGAGCTTAAACCCAATTATTAAAATCGTTTTATGAGGTGTGCCCCAGTTTTTGACCACTGGTTTGCTATTGGTACACAGTGGTAAAAAAGTGTTCCTATGGACATCCACTCGATTAGAGTCTTAACTTTTTTCCTTGTTTTAGATTGATCCAAAAAGAAGTTTTTTAAATATACAAAGCTAAATCTGCTGAAGTGACACAATTAAATTCATAAAGGCGCTAAAATAAGGCGAACATGTCGAAAATATCATGTCCCTCACCCGACTGTTATAAACAAACTGAAAATGAGACATTCTCAACGGAAAATAGGACCACCATAAAAATTATTGTTTATTGAAAACAGTTAGCCAAATAATAAGAGAGCACATCTTTAACTGATTTTGGACCTAGACTATCAATCCACCTGTAGTTACCCTACCCCCACAGGATTTTTTATAGGATAAGGGTGACAAACGAGCACAGAGTCCAATTGATGGTATGTGGTTGCTGTGGCCCATAGACATCTACATCTATCCTCGATTACGAATCAAAATGCAGATGCGTTGTCAACCGTGAGAACTAAGGTGGAATGTCTCGTTTCCAGTAAAAAGGGTCTCCGGTTCTCTATACTCACCTGACGAAACAGAAGTGTTAAGCTGTTATTTTACGCTGGTATTCTGTGAGAGCGTGGTCCTTCCTCGGTTCAACCGACCACATTTGCATCACACAAAAACCTGTGAACCGGTTAGATGGGACTTTCACTGGCAGATAGCTGATGTTATAACGAGTAAGTTAGGCTACTTTTATTTTTAGGATTCCGCGTAAAAAAATTCCATGCGGGCGAAGTTGCCGGAAACAGCTAGTATAAGATAAAGCTTTCTAGTTATTTTGGTAGTTTTGCGGTTTATGGATAAGATTTTGTCAAATTCGCCAACCTCAATATGATGAGACTGATTTATTTAATTGTAAGTCTGTGATAGGTGATACTGCTAATTTATGTGCAAAGCTATTTTTCTATTGTAATTTACTAATTAGCATTGTTAACGTTAATGTTCTAATTAATTTTCATGTTTGTCTTCTAATTAGTTTACCTTCGACTGTGCCACTAAAAATTGGTTGTAAGTCTAGATAAACTTTCAGTCATCATATGAAAGTCAATTTGTGTAACAAAATAGTGTTTTACTTTCAATTAGGAACCTTTTCTTGATAAGTTTACTTTAAGACTACTTACAGCCTTGCGGCTGACGGGCCTCGCACTCCGGAAGCTGAAACAATTTTCATTTCAGAAAATATTAACTTGAACAATGAAAAATCAAGACATTTATACTCGTCTATGCTCTCTCCAACTAAGACGCATCCAACAATACGTCCTATATATGTCGTTTACTCTGATTATTGAACAGTGCACTATTTTAACTTATTATACCGGTGAAAACTAATAGAAAATAGCTTTTATTTTGTTTTTAGGTTATAGTAAGATACATATTTTATTTGCTAATTACTCAGTATTCCCATTAGACACGGTAAAACTAATATTACTATTGTAATCGATAGATTATAATAAATAAATCGACATGCATTTCATTAAGGTTCTCTAAAATTTGTGGTGGGCCCATTCTCCATACAAAAAGAAACTGTCTCCTTTGGTGTAATAACATTTGCTGCCAATAGAGTGTTTTCTATCCAGCACGGAATTTCACATGTCGTTTGTTTCATACTAAGTTCCGATGTCTCAAGGCCCCACGGTTGCTGTCAGTCAATTAGATTGCTGCAGAAGAAATTGGTCACCTTGTTTTGACTAGACCAGATACAACTTCGACCAATTAAGGCCCTGCGGGTAAAATGCCTAAATTCTTGGATATTTAAGTAAAAAAAATCACAAAAAAAAAGTAATTTAATCCGCAAAGAAAAAATAGAGGGCGACAGAAGAGGATTTAATAAATATTTTCAATTGAACAAATTTGTATTTTTGTTAACCCTTATTAGAAAACAAATCACCAAAGGGTACCTATCTTTGTCATACTCGTATTTTGCAAAATTTCTCCAAAACGGCACAAGCTCTTTAAATACATTTTACACTAAAAAAAGGTCTTAAAAATATTTATATTTTTAATTGAGAGTTTTATTTTTATTCCCCGTTTTACTCGAGAAAATATAATTTTCCCCGAAATTTAATATATTCGTGCGAGCGTGCCTACTCCGTCGCCCTGTAATCACCCGCGAGCTGTGTCGCAGTCCGTTTTTAAATATCTTGTATTTGATTTATAATAAAGTGATTTTACTTTAATTTAAATAATTTATTTTGCCCTTCTATACCAAGTAGTGTTTTTTCAGTCACTCCTATTGAATTTAACAGCGCTCGCCGAAATTTAGCGCCTCTAGACGGATCTGAATCGCGCTCTGACCCGGCTGTTAAGGTATTGCAAAAATAATCGAAAATATTTATTTTTACTTTCATGCCGAAGCATCTTTTTCTATTTTATTACAGTCAAATGTTGTAAAGCAAGTATTTACAAA